TGAATGCACATGAATTAGATCCCAACAATGTATTGCGCGAAGGAAATCCAAGAACAGGTATGTCTTATTTGGAGTCGAATATTCAGTTTTGAGTATCTTTAGTAGCCTTGACATATAAATTGATGGAAATGTAATTTATGAAAAAAGCATGTGCCGCTTTGATCGAAAATGGAACATTCACCTGGGCCAAGGATGAGCCGCCTGTCCTTACGGACCTTCACATGGAAATCCCAATGGGGAAGTTGGTTGCAGTGGTTGGACAAGTTGGTTCCGGAAAATCCTCTCTGCTTTCAGCCTTCCTTGGTGACATGGAGAAAGTTTCGGGTCTCGTACACGTCAAGGTAGGCCTGGTTTCGATATTCAATATTCACCACTTATTGTGATCACTGGTTATTCTTTATCAACCTGATCATGCCCTTGCAAAACGTTACCCCCTCATTCACCTATACTTAACCGCTTTTTCGCCTAATCTTTACCTGAGGGGTCACAGGTTGTGACAGGTTGAGAGAGGGGAAAAAATTGGGGAAAAAGAGGGGAATCCCCGATTTTGATCTGAAGCTCAGGGAAAACGACTCCTCCGCAAGCAGGGCCTTGAAAAGTGATAAGACTGAAAGGTATATTCCGGTTAACCCAGGGGAAAGTTCCCCCTCGCACCTTCGCGTTCGTCTTTCTTATCCTTGTGAGACGCGTTAGAAATACTCCGTTCTCCATGTCGCTCGGTTGCCGTCATGACTGCAAGTCAGTCTCGGTTAGTGTCAGGGGTTCGGCTCTTTCTCAAAAATGGTCTTTGTGTTGTGATGTGACTTGGTTCCTTTGGCGTTAGGCTAAGCTTATCTCAGTGTCTGTGAACTTTCGACTATTCAATTCGGAATAGTCTAGTGTAAAAGTGCATTCAGAATTCTGAGACTTATGATCAGACCGACAGGTCGTGAGCTTAGAAATAAATGTTGCCGAATATTTCACGACGTGATTCTCTTATGTAAGTCATGATTCTTAGATCACAACACCCAGATGAGTGTTGTGATTAACATATTTTAATCATAGTCTCAGTGTTAATGATACACCTATCATATGAAGTGACAAGTACATCAGTATTCTTGAAATCAGAGGTAAGTCTGGGGTGAGGGATATTCTGTATCTCACAAAAAGTAAATGGCGGGTAAAATAGCGGTAAATTGGGGGTAGAGGTGAAACACTGAGGTAAAATTGCGGTAAAATGTAGGTAAAAGAGCGGTAAGTGAGAGGGGAATGGTAAAATGTATGAGTAAAGTTGCGGTGAAATGTAGGTAAAAAAGCAGCAAAGTATAGGTAAGCGGTAAATGAGAGGGGAACGGTAACATTGCTTTTGTAAGGGTGTGTTCAAATCGCGAAAACTAGAAGCAAATCACCTATTTCACGCCTGTGTTCATGCCATTTACGTGATCCCCGTCGCGGCATGGTGCGTTTAAGAACGAAAATCGTGTCCGACCGCTCTCAGTAATTACCGAAGGTCATAAAGGGAATGAATGAGATGAGGAATCTCTCCCCGGGGCAGAGGAACACGTCCCTCCTGACTGCAACCCGGAATCTGAAAACCATTGCAGTACAGTTTTTATTATTGAGAATACCATAAATAATCAGAGAACTTCCCAAGCATCCCGAGATCATGCCCTTCTTTTCATGCTCTTCGCTGTAAATTCCACGCTGCGTTCACGGCGAATTCCGAAGCTGTCTTCGTCTTCTTTGAAGCAGCATTATTGATATGACCAATGTTGCTGGACTTCTCAGCATGACGGTGAAGTCGACATTGAAGAGTCCGTCTGAATCACCGATTTTCCATCCCTCAAAAAATTGTATAATACTTGAGTAAATCTGTAATGAAGTCTGATGACCTATATGGAAACAGATGCTGCTGCCACCACTCTGATGACTTTCGGTAATTACTCAAATCATGAAAGACGATTTGAAAAATAATTTAGGAAAGTTTCGATTTTCCTCGATCGGAAAAGAAGCCCAAGAACGAGAGATACCAACAGTCCACGGAGAATGTGGAAATGGTGCTTTTCGTGTTTCTGAAGCCAATGTATCCTTTTTTCAGGCGCTGGCCTTGAAGGCCTCATTATCATTTCAATTGGAGGGTTTCTGGGACAACATGTAAAAAATACCATTGGCCGCAGAGTTAAATGTTGCCAGTATTTCTATATTAAAACAGGGGGAGGTGGCGTATGTCCCTCAAGAAGCCTGGATCCGCAATGCAACATTGAAGAGCAATGTTTTGTTTGGGAAAACATGCGATGAGACAATTTACAAGGAGATTCTTAAAGCCTGTGCCCTGGAACAGGATTTGGCCATATTGCCAGCTGGCGACATGACTGAAATTGGGGAGAAGGTATGTCACTTCGGATCGTCCAGTTCCATGAAACACGGACTTTTACGTTCTGATATGTTACTTTAGGGCATTAATCTGAGTGGAGGACAGAAGCAGCGAGTGAGTCTCGCCAGGGCAGTCTACAGCGATGCNTGTCACTTCGGATCGTCCAGTTCCATGAAACACGGACTTTTACGTTCTGATATGTTACTTTAGGGCATTAATCTGAGTGGAGGACAGAAGCAGCGAGTGAGTCTCGCCAGGGCAGTCTACAGCGATGCAGATGTTTACCTCATGGATGACCCTCTCAGTGCTGTTGACAGTCACGTGGGAAAGCACCTCTTCCAACAAGTTATTGGACCTGAGGGACTACTCAATAGCAAAGTTTGGAAGTTTTTGCAAATTTGAAAGAAGCCCTTGTAGAAGCATCTTTACAGAAAATGTATATTTCTTCACAGACACGAGTGCTTGTGACACACGGAATTACCCACCTGCCACAAACTGACCTAATCATAATGATGAAAGATGGTAAAATAATAGAGGCAGGGGGATATCGGCAGTTGATTGAGAAGAAAGGAGCCTTCTATGACTTTATAATCCAGTTTCTCTCTCAAGACGAAGGAGAAGATTCAGGTCTGCTTAAGTATCATTGTCCGTCTTCCAATCATGGCTGTCTTGCCAAAAAATGTTCCCTGCCATTGTGCAGAAGACGAGTTGGAGGAAATGAAACACGTAGTCGAGACCGTCACGGGTGAGAAAATAATAGTCCGACGAAGATCAAGACATCAGTCAAAAGTTTCTGAGAGTGAACGTGGAAAATCAGTACCTGATAGGTACGTCATCCTGAATGTCTTTGGTTCGTTTTTACATATCCTTGTCATATTTTATATGCTCTGTCCTGTAGTGAGATTCCAAAAGAAGAAGACAGAACATTACATCCTAATGGTGAAGGACGCCTCATTGAGGATGAAACAACAGAAAAAGGAAGGGTAGGGACAGTGGCATTTGCTCATCATGACTTTCAATTGCTTCCGAACTTAGTTACTCTTTCCATAATTCATTTTGGGATGTATTTCTATTCAGGTGAAGTGGTCGGTGTAC